CCTCTGGGCCTCTGATGATTCTTATGTTCTTCCTCTTGAGATCACCCCAAATTTCTCTTGTGTGCTGTTGATTAATTTTGAGGTCTTTTTCAATCTTCTGTTGTTGCCTGGTTCTTATATTCTCCATCTTATCTTCAAGCTCACTGATTCTGTCTTCAGCTGTTCTTACTCTGCTGTTGAGGGTTTCCATTGAGTTTTTCATTTCCCCTACCAATTTTTTAAATTCTGACATTTCTTATTTCTGCTCTCATATCCCTTATCCTCCTGTGTTTTATTAGATATCTGGTCCAGTGTTTATTTGAGCTCATTAAACATCATCACCATTTCCTCTCTGATAAATTCTTTATCAAAGAGATTATGTAAGTGGATATTCCTTGTTGAGGCTTCAGGGATCCTACTCCATCCACTCTTCATGGTGAGGTTCTGTGCTGTTTCCCATGATACCTGTAGTAATCTGGAGGTTATTCTTACCAACACATTGCCCACACTGCCTGGGAGTACTCTGGGGGAACTCAGTGGGTGGTAGTCTCTTGTTGTGCCATCTAAGATATTCTCTTTCAGTTTGGTGCTCCTGTGTAATTGTGTGGAGTCTCTTATGCTGATTCAGGAAATGCATTCTTTGGTCTGAACTTACTGCTACTCTTTCAGGTTCTCTTGTTTCTTGCACTCACCACTACATTTTCAGATTTGGGGGAAATACTGATTGGAGTAGGACCTAATAGACGATTAGCCTATTGTGGTTGAATAGCCAGGCTGCCCTTGTGAAGGTTCAGTATAAAAGTTCAAATGTGGATCTTATGAGATATGGAGGGGAATATTAACAAGCCACATTAGTGGAAGGTGCTTAGAAAAAAAACACACCCATAGCTGATGTGACATGTGGGAGAAGCCAAGCATTAGCGGCATTTAGGGTCACAGAGTGTTTGAGCCCCACTGGCTTGCTCACTTGCTTGAAAAAAGTTCTTTCCCATGTTCATTGCATAGGGAGGTGATCTATAGAGTACCCACACAAGAAAAGTTTCTACCTGCTGAGTCATCTGCATGGATGTGCCACACTGAAGACCATGCCCACCAATCGTCTCTTGTTTTCTTTTTTATGATTATTTTTAATGATTTGGTGTGACCCACAGCCAGAAATACTCAGGGGCTATTCCTCATTCCTGCCTAGGTAGGAACCCTTGTGGTTTCTCAGGGGAGCAGATATGTTGTAAGGCATTCACCTAGGATCTGCTGCATTGCATAGCAAGCGCCTTACTCCCTGTACTACCTCTCTGGTTTCTTGTATTTTTAATAGGGATCTGCCTGTGAAGCTCCGGTGGTTTGGGAACCACTCCCGGTGATTCCCAGTCTGCGATGTGGTCCTCATGGGTCAGTGCATGGACACACCAGGACCACCACTGGCAGTGTTCTGGGGGGCCATGTAGTCCTGGCGATCCAACTTAGGGCTTGCACGGGCAGACACTCAGGGCTTCCAGAACTGTGTTTTCTGGTTTTGGTCCTGGGTGATAAATGTAGGACTCTCACCCATATACCTTCTGAAATGCTATTTTTGTATTTTACATTATTTCATATTAAAAATTTTCTAATATTGGCAGTATTAGAAAAGGTCATTTTCTAAAATGTTGGTGGTTTTAAATTATTGGGGAATATAAGGGATTGAACCTTTATGGAAAGAAGTTAATTAGGGCCTGCCGAGATAGTACAGTGGGTAGGGTGCTTGCCTCACATGCATCCAACCCAGGTTCTATCCCCGCATCCCAGAAGGTCCCCAAGCACCACCAGTAGTTATTTCTTGAGCACAGAGCCAGGAGTAAACCCTGTCCATCACTGGGTGTGGCCCCAAAACAAAACTACACTAAAATCAGTTATAGAAACCCAAAGCATATTTGTAAATAAAGCAAGCTGTAAGGATGTCCAAGTGAAAATTTCCCTTATTGTCCTCTACTGCTTTATCAAAAAGCACCTGCCACTATGAATAGTTAAGTGTGTACTTATGTAGGTACTTTGCTCTCTCTCTCTTGTGCCTCCTCTATTATATAGAAACAGAATAACACTGTATCTTCTGTTATAAATTTAATTTTCAGAAATTGGAAATCTTGAATAAGAATGGTGGCAGCATGTATAACAGTCAGTTTCCGATTTGTGGTATTAAATTCTTCTGAAATTGCCTCATTCTTTCTTTCACATTCCTAATAAGTAGTTCTCTACTAACTATCTATGTAGTTGAGAGTAAGCATCGAGACTGGCATTCTAAAAATTTCAGCTCTTCTTTCATTGGGTTTGAGGGATCTACTCGTGGGAAGGAGACTCGAAAGGGAAGAGAGAGAGAGAGAGAGAGAGAGAGAGAGAGAGAGGTGAAAATTCAATTATCTGCCCAATTCTGTAGCCTCTGCCCAAGAGCAGCCTCTGTTGGGGTCTCAAGGTAGTACACCTCAAAAGCAAAGCTATGAGAAATTTGTTCTGATCCTTTCATCTAGCTCCTGTACCTGGGTGGAAAGTGATTACCCTAAAACAGGGGCATCTTTGAGACAAGCGCTACATGCTGTATGCCAGAAAATTGCCCCTTCTTGTATCAGTTTTTTCTGGTGCTGATTTTATAAGATCAGGAAATATCTGACAATAAGGTCCATAAAATTAATGTTTGCAGAACAGTTTATAGATCAATAAATACTGTGACGTGGTCTTATTTAACTCTCACGACAATTCAGGGTCTACATTATGATCTTAGTTTATGAGAGAAAATTAAGGCTGAGAAAAATGAGAAGACTTTGTCTACATTAGTGCTAGACCATCTGTCAAGCGCCATGGTGTGGCTATAAATTTTATGGCATAATTACAATGTGAGTGCATGTGTAAAGGGTGATTTCTTGCCAACAAAACAAAGTGTTCCAAATAGCCCCCACCTCATCACACATCAGGAGTAGCCCTGCATTTCTGCAAGGTCCTCCATCCTTTCTCTCTTACCCAGACAAACTCCTGTGGGGCAGCGCTCACATCCATAGGAGTCAGAGTCTTGTTAATGAAATCCATGGCAGCACTGCCAAAAGTGCTTTGAAAAACCACAAAGTTTTTTAAAGGAGGCAATTTTCTCTCTGCAAACATTCACCATGTGTGGACTCTAGTAAGACTCCTGTTGTCTTTTTTTCCGCCCTTTGGGTGGGGGGTCATACCAAGCATTGCACAGTGGTTACTCCTGGCTCTGCACTCAGGAATTACTCCTGGTGATGCTCGGCGAACCACATGGGATGCTGGGAATCGAACCCGGGTCGGCCGCATGAAAGGCAAATGCCCTATCCACTGTGCTATCGCTCCAACCCCTCCAGTTGTCTTTTGTCCTGACGATGATCCCCATTAGAGAGGAGCCAGTGCTCCCATTCAGCCCTTCTCTTCTACTTCTCATGCACCTATCAGAAGAATATTGTGCCTAGGGCATGAGGGATGAGCAGGAAAGGGGAGAAAGTCAACCCCTGCTACAGTCTATGGAACACCTCAAAACTTCAAAAACGGGAATCCACAGTAATTAATCATAAAACATGACGTGTGTCTGGTTACAAAGCCAAGAAGCATTGAAAGCTCAGGTTAGACTAATAATAAGACACTTGCCCTTCACATTCCGACATTCTCAGCTCACTTGAGTTTAAAAATAGAATGGAGGTAAATGGATATAGAAGCTATTGGCAGGCCACACAAGTGAGGTCAGAGAATGGACAACCACTCAAAAGCAGTTTCATAATGTGTGTTTGAGAATAGCCTGTGCTGGGATGAAGGGGCTCTTGAGTTTTAGGCACTTATATTTCTATTATAAGAGTTCATGTCTACCAAGTCTTTTTAAGTCTTTAAAACAAAAAAAGGCAAATCCATCTTCATTGTTGAAATGGTGAGTGTTTTTCTTTTGTATATTGATCTTTAATCAGAATCATTTGAGCAATAGGGTGTCTAAACCAGTAGAGACATAGGAAAAGCAGAAGTTAAGAAAATTCTAGGCTTTACCAGTTCCAGTTCAGTGACTTTTTTTTTCTTTTTGGGTCACACCCGGCGATGCACAGGGGTTACTCCTAGGTCTACACTCAGGAATTACCCCTGGCGGTGCTCAGGGGACCATATGAGATGCTGGGAATCGAATGCGGGTTGACTGCGTGCAAGACAAACACCCTACCTGCTGCGCTGTTGCTCCAGCCCCTCAGTGACTTAATAATCACAGTCATTTCTGCTCTGCTAACTTCAGCTTGTCTGACCCCAGTGGTCACAAAGTGGCTGCAGAAGCTCCCGAATCATGTCCTCATCTAACCTTGAAGTGAAAATATCTAAATTAACCTTTGAGGCAGAACTGCTTTTAGTGCTCATTTAGAAGAAGGAGAAAAACCTTTCTCAGAAAACTTGAGCATCTCTTCCTCTGTGTTTGCCTGGTGAGAATCATGTCGCATTCCCATTCCTAAGCCAAAATCATAAAATAATGGCAAAAATAATCAAATTATCATGCTTCTCTTAGATCGAACATTCTGCTTGGGGGAAGGAGGGGCTGTGCCTGCCCTTGCACAGCTTCTCTTGACAACAGGAACAAAATGAGGGTTTGTTAGCAAGAAAGAATGAATAAGGGGAGCAAATAAGTATCACCTGTAGTACTGTAGCACTGTCCTCCCATTGTTCATCGATTTGCTTGAGTGGGCCCAGTAACGTCTCCATTGTGAGACTTGTTATTGCTGTTGTTGGCATATCGAATATGCCACAGGGAGCTTGCCAGGCTCTCCAAGAGGGGCGAAGGAATTGAAGTATCAACTACTCAAGAAAATCATTAGGGGGCTGGAGTGATAGCACAGCGCGTAGGGCATTTGCCTTTCACGCGGCCAACCAGGGTTCCATTCCCAGCATCCCATTTGGTCCCCCGAGCACTGCCAGGAGGGATTCCTGAGTGCAGAACCAGGAGGAACCCCTGAGCATCGCCAGGTGTGATGCAAAAAAAAATAAAAAATCATGACTTTGTTTTACTTTTATCTTTCTAGGTTCTGCCAACATCAATGATCGAAGCATGCTGGGAAAGCGTGACAGTGAAATGGCCATCATTGTGCAGGACACAGAGACAGTCCCCTCGGTGATGGATGGAGAAGAGTACCAAGCAGGCCGCTTCGCTCAAGGTCTTCGGCTTCAGTGCTTCAGGTGGGTTTTGTGAAGCCAAGTCTGCCTGGGTCCCAGTGCTGCTTCTTGTCCTTAGCACATGCTGTCTTCTCCTGCCTCTCCTGGGTCTCAAACTGTCTCCCAAAATGCAGCATGGAATGTGCCCTTGATGGGGGAAGGGTGGGAACTGGATGAGGTGCAGCTATAAGTTTTCTATTTAAAAGTTTTTATTATCTTCATATGTCATAATAAAAACTAGTATTTGAATTGTATTAATTGATTTAGACCAGGCCAGGTCAAACCATCTAATGTCTGTAAGATTTCTTACAATTATTTATTTTTTTAAGTGAAAACAGATTTTATTTGGAGGCTTTGAGGAAGGGGATGAGGGAGGGAAAGGGAGAAAGAGCAAGGCACTCAGAAGAAAGAACACAGGAGGTGTCTCCAAGGATGAACAGAGCCCCAGTACACATCTCAAGAAGGGAGATGAAAGCGGCACATGAACTCAGACACCACATGTGCTCTCAACCAGGTGCTCACAAACAGCACATGGGTTTGGCAAGCATATGCGCCCAGTGAATTCATTCTAAACCTTATTTATCATTCATTTCTCTTTATCATTAGTTTTTGGTACTATAGAACTTCAAGGATATAACTTCGTTCATCTGTTTGTCTTTAAGACTCACCACACCCATCACAAAATTCTAAAGTTCTAGTGTCATCTTACTATCAGAACGATCCTTCTGGGCTGGGGATATGACTCAGTGTTAAACCACATAAAACTGAACCCAACGCATGTGTGAAGCCCTGGTTTCAGTCCCCAGCACTATCTGTACATACACTCACACACACACACATGCATGCTCACACACAAACACACACACATGCACGTGCACACACTTAAAGCCCCTTTACATATTCTTCCTGGCCTTCCCCATTTTTCCCCCCAATATCCACCATAATTCATTAATTCTAAGTTTTTGTCTTTTGGGGGATTTTTTGCACTTTTTAAATTAACCCTAGTTATAGACATTCAACATGAATCAAACTATCCATTAATTCTCTTTCTCTTCCCTCGTTACTTCGTTTAACATAATCACCTCAAGGTCCATCCGTTTTATCCCAAAAGAGATAGTTTCAAGATCTTAATTAGAGTCACATTCTGTACATCTCCCATATAGTCAAAGGAGATGCACAAACAAGGAAGATTGCTGATATCTACAATGAAGGGTTTCTAAGTTTTATTTTGGGGGAGGGGCTCCCCAAGCAATGCTGATGGGGCTTGGGATCATCTGGGTGGTTCTTGGCCAATCTTATTAAGGATCCAAGGATACTGTGCTCTTCAGGCCCTGTGGGGTTGAGAACAACCAGGGTCTACCCTGAAAATGTCCAGTGGGCTGTGATCCACATGTCTTGATGACCTCCTAGGCTACATCAGATGGTACTTGATGGCCAGGGGATCAAATAGATCTTGCATGTATCTTCCCAGCCCTGAAGAGTAACTGAATTTTAAATAAATCTTTGGTCAAGCAGATAGAATACTGCACCAGGAACACAGTCTCTGTCCCTGAATACATCCTTCATTCAGTTCATTGTGACTGAAAACTTTCTAGGTCTGGATTATAACTGTATTTGCTCCTACCTCCTATAGTCTTCCTCAGCAACAAGTGATCCTTCTAAAACTAACTCAAACCCTGTTCTTCCTTACATTCACTTTGCAGATTTACTCTCTCCTCCCACTCTCACTTTTCACTTTTCTCTGTGCTAGAAGGCATGCTGAGCCCCATCCCTCCCCCTCCCCCCATCCACACATAAATCTTGCACCTGGGAACCTTGACAAAAGGTCACAGCTCTGAGTCTAGAACTGTGCTTGTAGGGCAGGATTTCCCTGCAGGGAGCTACAGTCAGTGCTCCTGATGAAAGGCAGTCCTTCTTTTTTTCATACTTCCCCCCAGTTTATTTAAACAGCATGGTTTACAAAATTATTCATGATGCATTTGTTACAGGAATTCAATATTCCAACGCCAAGTCCATCACTACTGTTATCTTCCCTCCATCAATGTCTCCATTTTCCCAACCACCCCAAAAGCCTGCCCCCATAGCAGGTCCAAACTAATTTACTTTACATTGCTTGCTATCACTAATGGGATTATCAAAAAACACTTCAGTAAAAAAAAATGTGAAAATTGTATTTTACCATCAGGACATTAAGTCCTTGTCTGAGGGTTTACTGGGATCTTGTTTAGTTGTTTAGATGAGCTTTCTGTTAATGTTTTTGTTCATCAAGTTTAGTTGGCTTCTATGTTGCATTCCCATACAGTCTCGTGTGTTCCTACTTGGATGTTTGTACTGTAGAGTTTAAAGTTGTCCAGAAATTTCAGAATATTTAACTGGGCAGTGATCTTACATAGTAGTGGTGGTGAAATGTGGGGTGACTACCGTAGATTTTTTTAAATTTTTTTAATTTAAAAAAATTAGTTAAAAAATGACAGTACAGTTACAGACTTACAAACTTTCATGCTTGGATTTCAGTCATACAATGCTCAAGCACCCATCCTTCCACCAGTGCCCATTCTCCACCACCAATGTTCCCAGTATCCCTCCCCCCCCCAAGCCCCCAGTCCTTCACATACCCCCCCCCCACCGCCTCTGTGACAGGCACAATCCTTTTTACTCTCACTGTCTTTTGGGGTGTTATAGTTTGGAATTAAGTGTCCATCCTGTTCTGTCTATAGTTTACTTTCAGCATGCATCTCCCATCCTCAGCAAACCCTCCGAGCATTCTTTACTTGGTGGTCCCTTCTCTATCTCAGCTGCCTTTTCCCCCCAGCATGTGAGGCCAGTTTCCAAGCCGTGGAACAATCCTCCTGGTCCTTATCTCTACTATCCTTGGGTGTTAGTCTCCAATTATGTTACTTTATATTCCACAAATGTATGTAGTCATTCTATGTCTATCCCTTCCTTTCTTACTCATTTCACTTAGCATGATACGCTCCATGTCAATCCACTTATATGCAAATTTCATTCTTCAAAGCCAGTGTTTCCTTGCTGAATTTTAATCTCGTTTATCAGAGGTGATAAAGCAGTGTTGAAATCGCCAACTACTATTGTGTTGCCACCAATGTCCTCCTTAAAGTCTATTGGCAGTTGTTTTAAGTATTTAGCTGGTCCCACATTGGGTGCATATATGTTTAGGAGTGTGATTTCTTTATGTTGTGCACATCCCTTGACTATTAAAAAATGGCCTTCACTGTCCCTTCTAAGTATTTTCAGCCTGAAATCTATGTTGTTGGATACTAGAATGACCACCATGGCTATTTTCAGGGAGTTGTTTGCTTGCAGGATTGTTTTTCATTCTTTGGCCTTGAGTCTGTTGCTCTGACTGTTCAAATGTGTTTCTTGTAGGTAACAGAATGTTGGGTTCAGATTTTTAATCTATTTTGCCACTCCGTGTCTCTTAATTGTTACACTTAGACCATTGGCATTGAGAGAGATTATTGTCCTGCGGTTTTGTGCCATCTTTCTGTTTGTTGTGCTAGTAGGGATTTTACCTGTCTTGTAACAGCCCTTTTAGTCCTTCTTTTGAGGTTGGGTTTGCATCTGAAGTTCCTGAGCTGTTGTTTATCCAGGAAGTAGTGTATTGTTCCTTTGAGTTTAAGTGAGAGTTTAGCCTGAGGAAGCATTCTTGGTGAAGCGTTCATTTCATTGTTTTTTCCCTATATCCTACCTTTATCTCAGGCTTGGAAGTTTTTCTCTAATAAGTTTGCTGTAAATCTAAGGGGTACTCTCTTGTATGTGATTTCCTTCTTTGACCTTGTTGCTTGCAGTATTGTGTCTCTATCCATGGTATCTGCGATTCTATGTCTTGGAGTCTTTTTATTAGGGTCTCTTTTAGCTGGCACCCTTCAGGCTCCTTGGATCTGGATGCCTGCATCCTCCAGCTCTGGGAACTTCTCAGCAATGATTTCTTTAACTGTTGCTATTTTATTGGGGTTGCCTCTCTGTCCTTCTGGTACCCCGATGATACTATGTTGTTCCTCTTGAGTTCATCCCCTAGGTCTCTGACTCAACCTAGCGCTATTTTGAGGTCTTTCCCCATTGTTGCCTGTAAGCTTCCAACAGCTCATCTTCAAGCTCACTGATTCTGTCTTCGACTGTTGTCATTCTACTGTTGAGGGCACCACTGAGTTTTTTTTTTTAATCTACTGAATCCTTTATTAGTGACACTTCTGTTTGTAGCTTTCTTTTTTCTGCTCTTATTTCTTCCTGTGTTTTCTTGGCTGCCTGTTCCACTGTTTCTTTCATGTTCTCCTTTAATTTACTGAGTGCCTGTTCCACCATTTCTGAGTGCTTTTAACATCTTCAACATTTCATTTCTGAATTTTTTTATCAGAGAGATTGTATTTGTGGGTATTCCCTGTTGAGGCTTCTGGGCTCTTTTCTTCATCCTCTCCTCATGGTAGGGATTTGTGCTGATTCTTCATGTTGTTATGGTAGTATGGAGGTGGGACCCTCCGTTTCACTATAAGTATGCCCCTCTCTATGCAGGAAAGGATTCTGGATGAGCTCAGTTGACGGTAGTTGCCTTTTTCCTTTTCTAGAATACTGTCTTCCTCTTCAGTGCTGCTCTGTGACTTACGTGAGGCCTCTAGTGAAGCCTCAGAGGATGTGTTCTTTTATATTAGGCTTGTACAGCTTCTTGTGTTCACTGTTACTTTGGTGAGATTGGAATAGGCTCGTGGACCATTGGCCTAACATGTTTGAGATAAACAGGAAGTTCTCCAGAGAATTAGGTAATGGAGATTGGGATGTGAGTCCAGAGTGCTGGGAAAAGGGAAAATAACTGCAGCTGCCCAGAAAATCACGCCCCCTGCCGCATTGTAGGTCCTGTGGGTGCTGGAGGTATTGCCGTCTGGGTTCAGGTTGGGTTGCAGGAGGTGAGTAGGTCACTGGCCAGGGAGGTCCGCACACCTGCTGGGGGGAGTCGAATGGCGTTGGAAGTGCGCAGTGGTTCTTGAAGTCCTGTGTTTGAGCTGTTCCAG